GCCTCCTCCTTTGTCAGTCCTCGTCTTCTAGCGGGGAGGGGTCTGGCTGCTGGGCAGCGCGTGCATACGGACAGCGATAGTTACACTGCCGGAGTGTTACCAAGTCTCAGGCACACACTTCACTTTAAGTACACGAGCAAGCGTTTGTGCAAGTCTTTGCCGACCTGAGCGTTCAGTGACCTGGCGGATGGGTGGGCTCACTTTCCTACGCACTTGTTTGCATTTTGGGTCATTACCCTTCGGTTTACATTGACTGGGAAGACAGACAAAACAAACTGTGCAGTCACTGATCTTCGAGCTGCGCTGCGCCTGCCTGTTCCCTTTCACGTGGCTCCCAAGCAGTGCGACAAAGTAGAGCATAGGTTCCCAAACTGCGGGGGGAGGAGGGGGGGAGATGAAGAAATTCCAGGGGGGGCGTGAGTGACCCAGCCCGCCCCCCCCGCCCATCAAGTTTTGCAGCTCCAGTCAGTTCCTTTTTTTCCCTCTCAACAAGTTTTGCTGCTATTTGGGGGAGGGGAGGGAGTTTGTCTAAAAAATCTAAAAGGGGGCATGATGCCAAAAAGTTTAGGAACCACTGAAGTAGAGGGTTTCAATCTCTACCTGAACAAGGACTAAAACACAACTCTCCCGAGTCTGGCATCATCTCTAGACTTGGGAGACAGCATGTTGTTAGTGAAAGTATGAACCAATGACCAGGTTAGGGCACTGAAAGCATAATTGATGGGCACTTGACCCAGACTGCTTGTGGTATCCTAGGATGTACTAAAACTCTTTCCAGTGGAGGAAACCTTCAGCTGAATAAAGGGGAATAATGACATCTCTGGATCTGCTGGCAATGCTCCTCTTAATGCAACCTAATATGCCATTCGCCTTCTTGGCTACAAGGGCACACTGTTGTCTCATATCCAGCTTCTCATCCACTGTAACCCCCAGGTGCTTTTCTGCAGAACTACTACTTAACTGGTTGGTCCCCAGCTTGTAACTATGCTTGGGATTCTTCCGTCCCAAGTGCAGGACTCTATGTGCACTTGCCCCTTATGCCTGGTGCTTGGCCTGCAACTCAAGGCAAGCTCCATGCCAGATGGGCACTGCATCTTCCCTGGGCCCATGGCCCTCCTGCAGCCCTCTGGCCACTCCTGTCTCATCAGGGGTGCCATTTCAGATTGAGGAGGGAGGCAACTTGAACTGTAATTCTAGAGGATACTTAGGCACCTGAAAGCTGTGGGGGTTTTCAAATAACTTAGAAATTAGCTGTTGAGTTCACAGTACACATATGAATCCAGAAATATTTCCACCAGTAATAATTACATTTACAGATAGGGAAAGCAAGAAAAATGTTGCTTGAGAACTTGTTAGAGTCAAAATTCAGTGATATAAACTTCTGACCTGGGCCTGCTACAAATCATGTCTGGTTCTAGGATATTTATTTTGTATATCTTGACATGTAATATTGACACTTAGTGGTTTTTGCTATTTTGTTGTAGGAACCTGGATGAGAGCCACAAGGTGAGTGAGGTAATATCTTTCATTGGAACAAATATGGTTGGTGAAAGAGAAAACGTTTGGAACTCCAGAGAGCTCTTCTCCAGCTCCCGGGAACAAAAAAGGGCTGATCTCTTTCGCCATCCAAAGCAGGTCCAAACCCAACAAAGATATGATCTCACCCACCTTGTCTCTGTTCTTATGCAAATGTGTTTCAGCCAGCCAAGCAGCCACCACCTGCTGTGCCTCCATTTCCCACTCCTATTGGAAGGGGTCACATGGGAGAGTTGATCCGGAACACTCACTTATATCCTGTGCCCCCACCCACCTGCCTCACATTGGAATGTAGCATCAGTCCCCCCTGGGATCAATGCAAAGATTCCCTCCAACAGGACAAGTGTCACATCCTCCTTCCCAGACAATAGCCTAGCTCTCCTCCTTGCCCTCAGTTCCCTTATGGGAAAACAGCTGTTCCTTTCTCCTTTACTAACCTCTCCCTGTAGAGCTGTGTCAGGGGGAAGACACCCACTGCCATGGCGCTTCCTGCTGGTAGCACTGGGAATTAGCTTGGAAGCAGGGCGCCTCTCTGACTGGTGTCCCCGTGTCAGTTCCAGACCCACATCATTCCTGGAACACAGGACACTGCCCTCTGGCAGTGCCTACTCCAGTGTCTCTCAACCCCCTTCCGGGGGGAGGGAGAACAGGTTGTTTATCAGTCTCTATAGTCTGGGGTCCTCCCCTCCCAGGTAACCCGCCGTTTCCCTATTCCTGCCTTGTTTCAGTAACCCACTGCCAGTCTTCCTCTAGCCCCTGACACAGGGGCAAACTGCAGACTGAAATGGCCATGCATCATTGGCAAGAGGGCAGACCTCCCATCCTTGTCTGTCCTGGCTGCCTCCTTGCAGCCCTAGGCCTTGCTTCAGACCCTGCAGCCTGCGAGTCAGACCAGGCCAGGCCAGTGCTTCCCCAGCCCTGCCTGCCTTTCCCCAGCACTGCTCTCTCCCAGGAAGCCTCCAGTTCGGGAGGTGGGGAGGGAGGGAGAAGGGACCCTGGTCCATGGGGAAATAAGGGGGAGGAGGAGGGAGAAGGAATCTGGGCTGGCTTGCAATGGTGGGGGAAAGGAAAAGGGGTCTGGGCTGGTGGGGAGATGGGGGAAAAGAGGCCTGGGCTGGTGGGGTAGGGAAGGAGAAGGCTGTTGTGGCCGCAGACCAGCCCTCCCCAGTGCTGTTTTATATGCACATTTAAAATACATTAAAATATACATCAAAAGATCACTTTGGAATACTGTAATCCAGTTTTCCAGCTATTCTGATAAAATATCTGATGTGGTAAAAGTGATTGTGGTTGTACTTGTGTACTTATGTACGTGGCATGTATGTGAAGAAAACAAATCTTTTTATCAGATAGGAAAAAAGAGATCTCTACAATTAAATCTCATTTTTAGATATTTTCAAATAAGGTATGTGTTCCTGGAGAAACAATACCTTTCTTTCAATTTGTCAGCATTTAGACCAGTGTTTCTCAACCTTTTTTTTATAAAGTATCCCTTTAAAAAAATTATAAGTATCCCCAGTACCTACAGTTTTCAGACACAATTTTTTTTTTCTACCATTGCAACACATTTGTTTAAACAACTTAATTGTAGCCAGACTGGCGATGAGATTTTGGGGCGTAAAAAGTACAAAAATAACAAAGTGCTATAAAACTTAACACAAAAATTCAGTTTTCTCCAAATTTAGAGTTGTGTTGACGTACCCTCCCAAACTTCTCTTGAGGACCCCAAAGGGTATTCATACCACTGGTTGAGAAACACTCATTTAGATTATGTAAATGAGCTAGTTGAAAGAAAAAAAAAATTATGAGTATTTATTGTTGGATAATGAATATCCTTTAGGAAAACATGGAAAAAATAGGAAAGTGATGTGGAAGATGAGATGAGGAAAGATGACATGTTTTGACTTAGTTAAAAGGATTATTTATAAACATTAAACACGAAAAGATGCATTTTATTATGTCCATCAAGTAACTCTCATCCGATTTCAGAATACTGCACAAATCCAGTTATCTTAAATCTTTGTGGTACAACAAAGGGCATTTTCCTACAAATGGTAAGGAACGAATAATTAACCTTTTTGGGGAGGCAATGATGAAAGACATCTCAAAAGTGGTGGGAGTAGATGTTTCTGTTAGAGCTTTGCTGCATTTATTGTTGGCTTTATTAATGTTAGAAATTTAACTTAATCTCCCACATCAGAATTACTGTAAGAGGAAGAGGAATAACTATTGAGAGGATCCAAAAGAAGCATTAGAGATGATGCATCGTGTTGTGCTGGGGAAAGTAATACAGAAGATTGATCAAAATATCCAAATGAAAGGTGAGGGGGTCCTTTTCTAGTTTTATTTGAGAAATATGGTCTAATAAGTGAAACCTTTTGGGCAGATGCATTTTCCT